CAACACACACACACACACACACACACACACACACACACACACACACACACACACACACACACACAGACAAACACACACACACACACAGACACACACACACACACATGCACACACATGTACGGCTTCGTGCCTCTACCTTGATCTCGTATGTGGTGATGGTCTGCATGCGCGGTCCGTCTGGGTGCTGTTCCGGCGCCGTATCGTCGTCGTCGTCGCTGTGATCGTTCGGCACTTCAACTTCTTGCTCAACCAGGTCAAACGCTTCGTCAAACACCTGGTGATGGTGATGGTGATGGTGGTGGTGGTGGTGACGGTAAGTCACACGGCAGCGCAGCACAAAGCATGCGCGAGCGTCAAGAGACATCAGCGGCAGACATTGCCCGCAAAAACATGCACAAACACGCAGACATACACCACATACAAACACTGTGCTGTGTCTACCTTGAGGCCGAGGAAGACGGACTGCTTAAACTTTGGGATAATCTCTGCCTCTTTTTCCTCCTGTGTTTTCTCCTCTGTCTTCTCTTCAGGCGCCTCAGCTGATGATGATGATGATGATGATGATGATGATGATGATGATGATGATGATGATGATGATGATGTTGGTGGTGATGATGGTGATGATGATGATGATGATGGATACGAGGATGGTACTATTGTGTCATGGAGTGCAGTGTGGTGGCTGAAGTGTCAGGCAAACACGCACACACACACATACATACACACATGCGTGCAACATAGTTGACATCCCATTCACCATGGGCGTGGTGTTGTACCTTCTGTGGGCTTTTCAATGTCTGTTGTGTCTTCGTACACGCGGTTCTCAATGAACTGCGATCACATGTGGGCCGCGAGTCATGTGAGCGATGTAATGCGTTGATATAATCAGTGCAATCACACACACACACAAACACAAAGCGACATACACACAGACACAGACACAGACACAGACACAGACACACGAACACACAGACACAGACGTGCAGCGCACCTGTGAGTTGGAGAGCATGAGGAATTCGTTGAAGACGTTTGACACGCGCACGTCTGTCTCCCGCGTCTCTGCAACGAGCGAATCCACGGCCTTTTCCACCTCTGATGTCTTTGACAACACGCGGCGGGAAAACTGCACACGCGCATGTGTACATGGGTGATGGCATGCACCATGAGAATGCACGACAAGTGCAACGCCAGATCAGCGTGTGATATGATCGCGAGTAGCGCAAACACACACACAGACACACAAGCGTAAACACACACACATACACACACAAAAGCGTACGCACACACACGCACACACACACACAGACAAGCGTAAGCACACACACACATACACACAAGCATAAGCACACACACATACACACACACACACACACACAAAATCGTACGCACACACACACACACACACACAGGAACAGGTCTGTCATACGTCTTGGAGGTATTTGAGGAGGCCACAGTCGGCCGCGAGGGACCAGCGGGTGCTGGCGGCCCGCATCTCCTGCAGCGTCCACGCACGCTCCCAGTTCTGCGCAAAACACACGCACACGCGCGCACGCACATATGAGCGGTGGTGCGGACAAGCGGTGATGCTGGCAAGGGACAGCGCGCACACACGCACACAACTAAACTAAACAAGCAAAGAGCACGCACCTTTTCTCCATCTTGCTGCTGTTGCTGCTGTTGTTCACCTGCAGAGATCAACCGTGAACGTAAGATGTTGAGCGTGTGATGACTGACACAACACCTAACCAGATCAAGCACGCGTGCAAACCCGTCTCCGCTCGTGGGCACTGTCCATGCTCATGTGCGCTGACCACGCATGGGATCCCCTTCGCACAGAAACGCAGCAAACACACCTTGAGCGGGTGCACCGTTTGGCGTTCCATTCATGCTTGCCGCCGCTGGCTCCGTCGTCGTCGTTGTAGTTTGAGGTGCTGCTGCTGGCGGCGCTGGTGGTGCTGGCGGCGGCGGCGGCGGCGCACCGCTTCCATTGGCAGGAGGAGGTGGAGGAGGTGGAGGTGGCGGTGGTGGTCCGCCTGTCGAGGTTGCAGGTGGTGGTGGAGGCGGTGGTGGCGGGGGAGGCGCCCCTCCATCTGCACATCATGGTTTGAGTGGCGACGATGATTGTTGTTTCGTGATGGATTCCATCGTGTGTGTGTGTGCATGTGCATGTGTGTATGTGCATGTGCATGTGTGTGTGAGTACATGTGTGTGTGTGTGTGGTGTGTGCGTGCGTGTGTGTGTGTGTGTGTGTGTGTGTGTGTGTGGGTGCAGTCTTGCATGAGTACTGTCCTCGTGCACACATTGAGAGAGATGCAGATCGACAGGTACACACACACACATACACACACACACATACACACAACAGACACATACACACACACACACACACACACAGACAGACAAAAACACACAGACACGCACAACAGAGACAGACACGCAGACAACACAAACAAACATCAGAGACAACAAACAAAACGACCTTTACCCGTGGCTGGAGGAGGAGGTGGCGGCGGTGGCGGTGGAGGTGGTGGTGGAGGTGGCATCACTTCCTCTCTGTCTGTCTCTCTCTGTCTCCCTCTGCTGTGTCTCTGCTGTGTCTCTCTGTATCACTTCTCACTTCGCTGTCTCTCACGTTCGCCGCACACAAGCCTCGCTCGTTTCCTTGTCCTTGCTCTGCTTTGTTGTTGTTGGAGGAGAGGAGTGGATGTCGTCGTCGCCTGCTGGTGACGTCGCTATATCTTTGTCTGTCGCTGTCGTTAGCGCACAACAAAGGAAAAAATTTAAATTCTTCAACAAAACGAACAGTCCTCTGCTGTTGACTGCGGCTGCCACACCCACATCCAACCACAACATCCAACCACCAAGACAGCAAGACAGCAAGACAGCAAGACCGCAAGACAGGAGCGCATCGTGCGGTGGTGGTGTAGACCTGAGTCTTCACACACACACACACACACACACACACACACACACACACACACACACACACAATGTCGTGGTACCGAGACGGCCGAGGTGGTGGAGACGGCCGCCGATATGCCGGTGACGCACGGCGCTATGACGATGACTATGCCGACGACTATGCCGACGACTACGACGAGTACGTTGATGACGGAGACGTCGGCTATGGTCGCGACGACCCTTACTACAATGACCGTGGCGACCCCCGCAGGCTTGGCCGCGCATATGCACAGGACGGCGGGCCCCGGCCCCGCGCGCCGCGGTCACGCCATGCCTGGGGTACCGACACCCTGGCGTCGGAGGCCGCGCGCAGCGAGCGCAGCGGTTACGCTGGCAGCTACTTTGAGGTCGGCTCCACGATGAACGGCACCGCACGCACGCGCAGGGATCCCCGCGATGACGCCGACGCCTACAGGTACAGGGACAGCGTGGAGTACGAATACGACGAGACCATGAAACGGCGCAGCGCAGAGTACCTCGGGCACAGGCAGCGCGCACGGGCATACGACCTGGAAGAAGCAGACCGCATGCGCATGGAGATGGAGATGGAGATGGACCGGTACCCGCGGCGTGACAGCTACGACCCTCGATACCCCGAGGGCAGAGCCGCCTATGCCGGCGGCCTGCACCGCGCAGACAGCCAGATGTTCATGTCGGAGCTGGAGATGGCACTGCAGCGAAGTGCGGAGCGGCTCGACCCATACGGCGCATACCGAGGCGGGTACACACGCGAATATGACGACGACGACGACGACGATGACAGATACAACGACGACGACGACTCCCGTCGCCGTCGTCGTCGCCCCCACCGCCGCTCCTCTGCTGCTGACGATGGTGGCGATATTGGCGATGGTGATGGTGACGGTGGCCGGCGTGGGTCGCTTGGCCCCGTTGCCGCGTTCAACTATCCCGATCACAGCGGGAAGCGGCGTAAGGACCGAGCATCGATGGCATCGTCATTCCGCTCACGCCATTCGCGTGACGACCACCGCCACCGCCACCATCACCGCCATCAGGGTGATATCGCCACCACTGACGTTGATCGTGCACACATCGTGGCGAGTGATGTGGAGACGGAGACAGACGACAGCCGCGATGATGTTGACCACACGTACGACTATGGTGACATGGGGCCTGGCGAGGGCGAGTACGCACTGGCAACGGACTTTGTGCCCGGCGTGGATGATGTTGCTGTTGATGACGAGGATGACCGTGCTCATCTGCTGCGCGGGAAGAAGAAGGAGAAGCAGGTTCGGTTTCGCCGTTCCACTGCCACGAGTGTGGAGCACCTTGAAACCCTGGCCGCCATGCCCATCGATGATGACGATGGTGATGACGACGATGATGATGAAGGGGGCGAGTTCTACGAGCTGAGCCGCCCTCCAAACCTCTTTACCTCACGTAAGCGTTGTTGGCGTGTCTGTGTGTGTGTGTGTGCATGTTTGTGCTGGTGTGCATATGTGTGTTGATCTGTTTTACACATCTGCTCACTCTTTGCACTTACAATTATGTCACACCCGCATCCACGCGTAACTGTTGATGCAGGCAAACCAGCGTCGGACACTCAAGGTGGGGTGCACATGGCGCTTTACCTTCCTTGTGTGTTCGCTTGTGGACGTGTGTATGTGCGCACATGTGTGTGCGTGCGCACGTGTGTATTTGCTCGCTTCCCCCTGTCTCACCCACGCCGCACGCCAACACTCTTATTTCTCACCCCCTCCCTTCATCATCAACCCTTTCCTCTCATCATCGTCACCGCGCCAGACGACGGCAAGAGCAACAAGCGCGACAAAATCCACTATTACGGCGACGACGCTGCCATGGATTTGACAAAGAGAGAATACGACACGCTGCGTACGTTCACACTACGATGGCGGTGGTAGTGGTGGTGATCAGTGCGGTGCATTGTGACACTCTGTGGTGCTGGAGCGTAACTGCGCGCTTGTGGTGTGTGTGTGTTTGTGTTTGTGTGTTTGTATTTGTATTTGTGTTTATGTGTGTCTGTTTGTGTTTATGTGTGCGTGTAATTCGTTATGTGTGCAGCCGCACGTTCCGCCTTTGCTGTCATTGTACACGCGATTGCAACATTGCCACGACTCACCATCTCGCACACCGTCACTGCGCATCAGGCCGCCTCACACGCAACGAGGACGATGGGAGCGAGCTGTCATCGTCATCATCAACGCCATCCACATCATCATCATCATCACCATCATCGTCGTCGTCCGTGTCAGGTTCAGACTCTGAAGATGATGGTGATAGCGGTGGCAGGGGTGTGGTGGGCAGGCGTGGCCGCCCAGTCAGCAAAATGTATCTCTTTGACAGCGACGACGATGATGACGAGTTTTCAAGTTCAGACTCGGAGTCAGGTGGAGAAGGAGAGAGCGACGGATTGGAGGAGGAGGCGGATGATTCCCAGGCGAGCGGGGATGAGGGTGCAGTTGCGCAACGCACGTCTCTCGTGACCGTTGAGCGCGAAGAAGGGACGGAGGTGCTGGTTGTGGACGCATCATCATCGTCAGCGGCGGCGGCAGCAGCGAGCACCACCACGGCAACAGCGAGTGGCCATGGCCATCATGATGATGATGGTGATGGTGATGATGCTGCGAGTGTGGCCACAAACGTCACGGGGCTTGACGGTGGCAGCGATGGCGACGAGCGTGGTGATGCTGAAGTTGGGGCAATCATGACGCAAGATGCGCAACAGAAACCCGCGACAGCCGTTTCCGGCGCTTTGGGAGAGCGGGAGCAGGGCGTGTACACACCAACACCCGAGACGATGCAGAGGCAGGCCGATCCCAGCACGGCCACGGATGGCACTGGTGATGTGCAGACTTCAGGCACACTCCGCACCGCTGTCACTGCCGTCACAGCAGCAACAGCGGCAACAGCAAGGACAGCAGCAACAGCAGCAACAGGAGCAACAGGAACTGCAACAGCCATCACGACGGCATCAGCAGCTAGCGCCGGGAGTGCAGTGAGTGCTGTCAAGACCACGGTCACCTTTACGGCGGCTGCGAGCGTGATGACACCAACGCGCGACGGCGACAATGAGCGAAAGGTCACATTGCGCCGATCAAAGCGCAGGCGTTCATCGTAAGTGCATCTCCGTGTGTATGTGTTTGTACGTGTGTGTACATCGTGTGTGTACATCGTGTGTGTGCAAGTTTACAAACGCTTTCCCGCTGTTGTGTCGCTTTGGACGTCAGCTTCTCACCCAACACACAACGCACGCACACACACACACACACACAACACAACACACACAACACAACACACACAACACACACACACACAACACACACCACCACCGCCAGGGCTGTGGAGGAGCTGCAGGAAGTTGCGGCCAGCAGTATGCCGCAGTACGTGAACCTCCGGAACCGTCTGAAGCAGTGGGAGGATGGTGTTGCCAGTGGGCAGGCCGGCGACGACGACAACTACGAGAAGGAGTTCTTCCGAGAAGAGGAAGAGAGCGATGAGGTGCGGGCCATGTAATGGTGGTGTCTTTGTTGCTGTGGGGTGCGTCTGTGCTCATGTTTGTGATTGTGCTTTCTGATTGTACGGGCGTTCTGTGTGTATGTGTTTGCATGTGTATGGATGTGTGTGTCTGTGTGTAGGTGTGTGTCTGTGTGTCTGTGTGCACCTGCGTGTCCCGGTGTACAGCCCGAAGACTGCACTTCGATTGGACTTGTGCGTCGTATTCATGTTTATCGCCATCATTCCCTCCTCCCTCTCACGCCACGCTGCCCATCATCGCTGCCAACCAACCCTCACATGTGTGCGTGTGTGTGTGTGTGTGTGTGTGTGTGTGTGTGCGTGTGCGTGGCAGGAGGAGTATGGTGAGGCCGTGCGCGGGGATACGCTGCGCCCCCACAGGGACGACGACGACGACAAGACGCTGTCTGCTACGCTGCGACGCGCACGTGCGCGCCAGGAAGGACAGACAGCGCAGCTGACAGAATCGGACCTGAAAGCCATCTACGGCCGCGAAATTCAAATGTACTGCCCACGACAGCCGCACTTACAGCACCGTTACGGGAAGAAGAAGGAGTGCCACCACTGGCCTGAGCGCGTGCGCACACGCAAGGGGCGACATGGGCAGACGTTTGTGGCGGTGAAGGACGCCGACAACAAACTGCAAGCGCGCACGCGTCTTGCGCGTTTGGAACAGAAGGAGCAGCGGAAACTGGACGATTTGCGGAAGAAGGGGCGACTGCGCGGTCAATTGCTGCGACAGCAGCAGTCGTCTGCAAAGTCAACACTCGGGTTCTTCACGGTGAGCGTTGGAGTGTGGTTTTGTGCGTGTGTGTGTGTGCGTGTGCTGTTGTATGTGAGTGTGGTTTGTGCGTGTGTGTGTGCGTGTGTGTGTGTGTGCGTGTGCTGTTGTATGTGAGTGTGGTTTGTGCGTGTGTGTGCGTGTGCTGTTGTATGTGAGTGTGTGAGGGTGTGTGTGTGAGTGAGTGAATATGTGTGTGTGTGGTTATGAAGAGATGGTTGACACATGACCTGACATCATCTCACCACGGCGACTCCACCACCACCACCACCACCACCGCAACTCTGCCATCACCATGAACACTAGTTGACGTATTACTCGCTGTCGCTGTGGATTTCGCGGCTGTGGCGCAATCTCTACCAATTCTTCACAACATTCGAGCTCTTCGGACGTGCGTAATTTTTGTGTTTGTGTGTGTTTGCGTGTGTTTGCGTGTGTTTGTGTGTGTTTGTGTGTGTGTGTGTGTGTTTGTGTTTATTTGTGTGTATTTCCACCACCACATACCCGCGCGTTGCTCCCCTCACACCAAACACCACCACCACCATGATCACCACCACCACCAGGACGGCTGCACGAGGTTGAGGGCCAGTTTGGAACGGTCGTCTACCAGTATTTTGTCTTTGCCCGCTCTCTCATTCTCCTCAACTTCATCTGCGCAATCGCCTGGGTATGCTGCACCTCGCGCGTGCGTGTGTGTGTGTGTGTGTGTGTGTGTGTGTGTGTGTGTGTGTGTGTGTGTGTGTGTGTGTGTGTGTGTGTGTGTGTGTGT